TGCACACTGCATATATTTTATTTTGAAGTAAAAAAACAAAACGGGAACAAATACAATATTTGTATTTGCATGTGGCCCGTGGGCCGTAGTTTGAGGACCCCTGGAGTGGACTTTTGCTAGGCACTAGAGATGGGTGTGTGTGTGACCCTGGCCCTGGTTTCAAACAGACATGTAACCTACCAATTACAGTTATTCCTGCTAATAGAGCTAAGCCTAGAGGTGAGGGTGAGAGATCATCCTTGCTGGAAGGAAACTTTCTTGAATTCTTACAGCAGGTCTTTATTCAACTTTTCTATGACCTAGACTTTGCATAGGTGCTTCACACTACTCTTAATTTCTTCCTCTGCCTGTCCTAGCCTTAGCTTTGCCCAACAGACCTGCCTATAGCAGGATAGAGTCATTCTCAATTAAAAACCAAAAACTTACACAGTTTATGCATGGTTGGGTCACCATGTGTATGATCAGTGTGGTCAGTGATACAGTATTTGGAATAAAACTCAGATCTGGTGAACAATATTGCCCTCTACCCTTCTTTCCCCCTTGACCTCTCTGTGGCTCTGTGCTGTGTGTGTTTCTGCCTTGATGTTCCCTTACCATCCCCAGACCTAGAGCCTTGGGAGAGCTCTGGATAATGAAGGGCAATAGCCCGAGGCTCTTCTGCTCAGGAGGGAGGTGCTTCATTCTCTTCTTAAGGGCATTCAAGAAGCTATAGATCTTGGACCCTCGGCCCTCTACTTTCTGTTCCTCGTCCTCTGCTTAAATCTAGCCTTCTAGGTTCAGCTCAAGTGCTGCGTTCCTTGTGAGACCTTCCTTGACTCCTCTCAGCTGGGTATGATCACCGCTTCCTTTGCCCCACACCACCTGGGCTGGGAGAAAATGAGTGTCATCTAGGAAAGGATGTGCCAGCGTGTAGGAGAGAATCCTTTTCTAGAAGCGAAGTTGGAGGTTAGGTGAGAGAAGTAGGGCTGAATGTCAGGACTGAGGCACTCAGTCCACAAACAGGAAAACCAACAAGGTTCACATGCTGACTTAATTAGGAACAGGTCAGGAATCCTCATAGAGTTTGAGATGATCAAGCCAAGAGCTCTGGATAGATGCCCTGACCTGCAGGTACTATTGACCTGCTTTATGTGGAGCTAGGTAAATGTGTGTGGTTTGGGCTTGCCTGGCTAACAGGACAGGGCAGTATCTGCCACTTGCCACACTCTGTTCTTTATATTAATAAGTTTGTAAGCCAGCCTTCACCTTAAGCCACTGTATTGTGTGCCTCCCCATGGCAGGGACAGTTAGTTCCCGTATTCTCTAACACAGCAGAACTCAGGGAAAGTTGCTTTTTACTGACTTTTCTGAAACAGGCAGCCCAGAGTCTAATTTCCATACTCCCATTGGCTATATCAGAGGGAGGCTGGATCCCTTCCTCTTCCCTTCTTCTCTCTTCCTTTCTTCCTTCTCCAGGGGCACTTAAACCTTGTGTATTCAGCTCTTCAGAAGTGAAAACCGGTCCTGGATCCTGTTTCACCTGTCAGCAGCATGAGCAGGTGGCCTGTTCCTGGGCTCAGCCTAAACCTGAGCCTGGCTTCTAGACTTAGGAACTATTCACCCGAAACCAGGGCACAGGGTAGACTGAAGGCACATCTGTCCAGGCTCAGGCTGAGCCATGTGAGGAGCTATCAGGGCTGGGAGAAGTGAGGCCTCCTGTTCTTCCTCTTCTAAAGGAGATCACATTTCTTTCAGAACAAACTTGGGTGAAAGACAACACCCCTACCCATTTCCCTTCTCCCGGCAGGGAGCTGGGCCTCTGCTCAGTCCTTAACTCGGGTGTTTGTCAGTCTCAAAATTTTCATTTTATTTACTTATTTATTTAAATATATATATATATATGTATGTATTTTATTATTGATAGTATTACAGATGTCCCCCTTTTCCTCCCATTTACCCCCTCCTGAGCCCAAATATTTTCTAATGAAGAAGCCTGATGGTATAAAACCTGGACTTCAGACAACTGCCTGCCCTTTCTCTCCAGGATTTATTTGTTCATTTGACAAAATGAGCACTGGCCATGCTGGGTCATATGCTTGACACGCGACAACTGACCAGCCATGATTCCTGTCCTTGAAGAAGGAGACTAGGGAAGACTATAACAACATAGTATAGTCAGTGCCGAGAGACAGGAGGCCAAAACATGCCCCTGACCAATCTGGGGGACCAGAGAAAGCGTCCTAGAGGAAATGGCACCTAATTAGAGCCTTAAAATATCAGTTGGGCTTAACAAATAGAAAAGGGAATGGATTACAGGCAAAGGGGTCAGCATGAGTGGTATCATCAAGGTAAGAAACAGCCTAGGAGGTTGTGTGATGGAGGGGGGAAATTACATACTGTTGCTGGATCACATTCTAGCCTAGGAGGGACTGGGGATAGGTAGGGACCTGGTTCTGGAGTGCATTGTCCATTTGTCCCACAGTTGCTCATCTGTCTAGCCTGCCTCTGTGCCTAGCCCTAAATTGAATTTGTGTCGATGGCAATAAAATGAGGAAGGAGAAGCAATCCCTGCCCTGGAGGAGCTCACTAACCCCCTTCCTAGGTGAGGAGGGAGCATCTGAGTAAAAAATTGAGAACCAGTAATACAAGGCACACATTGCCTAACTTCTATGAGCCTAAATAATTAAATAACATGGAAGATGA